AAGCAGATTCGTAAGACATGATTTCCGTTGCACAAAGCCACGTTGTACAGGTGTCAGGAGTCGATTGCTAGTCAGATGTAGGCAAATCTGTCTTCTGATCAGCCGCTCCAGACACTTACACAGCACTGACGTTAGGCTAACGGGTCTATAGTTTTCTGCTTTGTGTTACGGTTCATCCTTGTGCAATGCTACCACGGTAGCTGTACGCTAGTTTTGGGGTAGCGTAGCAGTTTGCACTGATTCCCTAGAAAGTACAGTCAGCGGCCCGGCTAGCACACCAGCCAGTGGCTGCACTATGGCTGGATGTATTCCATCTGGACTTGCTGACTTGTGCTTGTTCAGCGTCTGGAGTTCTCGATGTACATCTGTTTCACAGATGACAATATCCGCAAACTGTGGCGTATCGGCTGCTCCTGCTAAACCCGGGTTATCATAGTCGATTGGAGTCCTATACACGCTCTTGAAGAACTCAAGTGCGGTTTCCGCTTTATCTGTTTGACAGATGGCAATTTCGAATAACTCTGACGTATCAGCTGATCTGGTTAAAGCCGGATTATCCACATTAGCTAGAGTCTTATACACCTTTAAAGAACTTATGTAGGGTTTCCGCTTTATCGCGGTTACACGCAGCCATGCCTCCATCGTGCGCAGTTAGTGCTCCTACACACTCCCGTGTGCGTGCGTTGGCTTGCACGTACGCATAGAAGCTTTTGGGGTTCTTTCAAGTCAAGTCAAGTCAAAAATCGCTTTATCCGTCCTAATGGATGGATTCTCAGCTTATTGCACTCCAGGAACATTTATCGTTGCATACAGTCACAATAAAGTGAGAAAAAAGCATCCTTAATTCAAAGAAATGTGGAGTAAAAGGTTTGAAAATGAATACCAATTGCGTAGGAATTTCGAAATAATTTCTCTAACGGATGCCTTTTAAGCCAGAAATNCTCGAAAGATAGGGATGACGGACAAACGATAGACAGTGATACGAGCATAGACCAGTTTATAACGATATCTTGTGACAGAAGTGGATATGCATTGTTTAAGTTCTGTGAGTGGTGTCTGAGAGAATATTGTTACAGAAGTTATCGCAAGAGGTAAAATGTTCATCAGCAATAAGGTCAAGCAAGTGCAAATAAGAAATACCGCTTGTGTGAGAAATAATTTTAATAGACCGGCGTAGAATTGTGTAATCCTTAGCTCTAAGACCGGCAAATAAAACTGGGGAGCAGTAGAGAAGATGAATAACAACACAAGAATATACAAACTGGGTTAGTAAATACAATGGAACTTTCAAAGAACGCAAGCGGGTAATGAAGGAACACAACCGTCGAATCTTTACAAAAGTAGAAGTTAAGTGTGAGGTTCAGGTCAGATCTCGGAAGATGGTGATACCGAAGTATTGTAGAGTTTACTGAGGAAACAGGCTGGTTGTCAACATAGAGTGCAGAACAATTTCTTTCAAAAGAATGTAGCCGTTCTCCATTGGCGAGCGAAAAGGTGACATCACTACACTTAGATGCATTGAGAGATAACTTGGAAGATGAAGACCATAAGCTTAGGGCAGATAAACTGGTTTGAAGGTGTGAGAAGTGGAAATCACATTGGAATTTGGAACCCATTGTGACATCATCAGCATACTTGATGAGAAGATCATTTGGGTTAGCGGAAAGGTCACAAATATAGAAATAGGAAAGAAAGAGGGAAAGAATTGCTCACTGGAGCATCCCTGAGTTGACTGGTAGGGAGTCAGAGGTTTTTCCAAGAAAGTTCGTGAATTGCGTTCTACCAGCAACATAACCTTGGAGTAGGGAGAGAATATTATTAGACAATCCAGCACCTTGGAGTAAAGACAAAAGCCTACTCCTGTCAACACAGTTAAAAGCATTACTATAGTTGAGGAAACACACACGAAAAGCCCTGCCGTGCATGTCTAAGGATCGTAAAACTGAGTTTACCAAATGAGCGAGAGCATCTGAAATGAAACGTTGTTTGCGATAAGCGAATTGGTTTTTATCTAGCTGCCCAGTATTGGGAATAATGTTAATGAGCATAAACTTTTCGAAAATGTTTGGTAAAATAGAAGTGCAGGCGATTGGTCGTAGTTTGCCAGTTCCTTTTTGGGGGACTGTTGTGATGCGCACAAGTCTCCAGCAGTCGACAATCTTTTGTTCCTCAAAGCATCAGTTGAAAATACCGGCAGGTGGCCCCGCCAGATAATGCGCACATTCCCTGAGGGCGACTGGACACAGTCCGTCAGGACCGGAAGCTTTTGAGATTTTTAGGCACTTCAGCTAAGCAAAAACCTGCTTAGAATTGGCACGTGAAATTTCAGGATGGTCAACTGATTGGAAATAAGAATGCGATANCTTTAGTTTCAGTCGACGTGGAAAACATGCGGTTGAGTTCATCTGCTTTGGATTGGGGCCCGCTTAGTCTGACTTTTGTTCCACAAAGTTTTTTCATAGCCCTCCAGATTTGATTGCAATTTCGGTCTTCGAGAAGGGTTTCAGTGTAGAGTTTGTCAAGAGTTTGGATCTCATTCTTGATCAGCACTGACTTTCGTTTAATTAAAGGTAGATCACGATTTTTATATACCCATTCCTTGGTTCTTCTGAGGGTCCTCAAAGTGGGAGAAGAAAATCTGGCGGGACTGATGTATATAATGGATATGGGGCAGCAGACGTCAAAGCAGAAGTTCGACTGGTTCATGAGATGTTCACACTCGATCGAGACACTGGAATAAAATAACTGATCAAAATTTGTACCAGAGACTAGCTCTCTTAGTGATACCAAGTGGACCGGGTCACAAAACCGATGAAAAATTTTCTGGCTAGATGTACGTGTCATTGTGCTGTGATGCTTATTTGAATAGACTTTTGGTAAAACATTGATACAATGATCGGAGTTTGCCAGAGGGGCTTCTCTTTGCACAGAAAACAGACCAGGATCGTTCGAAAACATAAGATCAAGCCACGCGTTTCCTCTTGTGGAGAACTTCACAATATTGTGGAGAGAGAAACATGTCAAAAAATGAATATCTGCATGGTCGAAATCGCCACTAACAATAAAAAGAGAGCGTTTAGTGTAGTTAGAAAGTTTGGATATAAATACATCAGGAAACTCCTGTACTTCAGAAGTTGCACTGGAAGGTGCTATATAAATGTTTGATGCCACAATAAAACGATATTTACTAAGGAAACGGGGTTTAGATTCAACCGAAAGACATGAGATGTATCCTACGTTGTAAGTGAATCTTTGTAGACTTACACAAAGACGATTTGGTGTAGGTTATTAGACCACCGCCTAAATTTCTTAGTAAGCAGTCTCTATTCAAACGACCAAATGGATTCAGCTCAACCAAAGAGTCGTTGATATCAGGATGCAACCACGTTTCTTGCAGCATAACTATCCCCACCGCGTGGTATTTTTTCGTCCTTATCAGTTTCGTGAAGTCGCTCATTTTGCCAGATAGTGATCGTACGTTTGAAGAACAAATGGCAGCAATAGACATTTTCTGAGGTTTTATGTTACGTAAGGCCACTTGCCATTCTGTGGAAACCTGATCTAGACGGTCTGCATCTTTTGTCTCTATTTTCAACTTGACGACGGAACTGACAGAGAATACCACTTGCGCGATAATATAATGTTGCAAGTTCTTCAAAGATTCCGGAGCGTACGTAATCATGAAAGCGATGATAGAAAACTTGATTCAAACGATTAAATCCAATGTGTAACGTAAAAGTTGATAAATTGTTCA